ATCTTCTAGTGAATGTCTACCAAGTTTGTTCAAATAAAAAGCCCTGGGGTCAAAATTGGCCCGCCCCAAGGGGTCATTAATTTTCCCTATATGCATATAGTAAAAACTTAAAAAATCTTCTTTTAAAGAACCCAAAGAGCTAGAGCTAAGATATTAAGCATGAAACATCTTCTAGTGAGTGTCTACCAAGTTTGTTCAAATTAAAGCCCTGGGGTCAAAATTGGCCCCGCCCCGGGGGGTCATTGATTTTCCCTATATGCATATAGTAAAAACTTAAAAAATCTTCTTTTAAAGAACCCAAAGAGCTAGAGCTTAGATATTTGGCATGAAACGTCTTCTAGAGAATGTCTACCAAGTTTGTTCAAATAAAAGCCCTGGGGTCAAAATTGACCCCACCCCAGGGGGTCATAGATTTTCCTTATATGCATATAGTAAAAACTTAAAAAATCTTCTTTTAATGAGTGTCTACCAAGTTTGTTCAAATAAAAGCCCCGGGGTCAAAATTGGCCCCGCCCCAAAAACTTAAAAAATCTTCTTTTAAAGAACTCAAAGAGCTAGAGCTAAGATATTTAGCATGAAACATGTTCTAATGGGTGTCTACCAAGTATGTTCAAATAAAAGCCCTGGGGTCAAAACTGGCTCTGCCCGGGGGGGTCATTGATTATCCTTATATGTGTATAGCAAAAACTTAAAAATCTTCTTTGAAAAAACCCAAATAGCTAGAGTTTAGATATTAAGCATGAAACATCTTTAAGTAAATATCTACAAAGTTTGTTCAAATAAAAGCCCGGGGGTCAAAACTGGCCCTGCCCCAGGGGTGTCATTGTTTTTAACTATATGTGTATAGTAAAAACTTTAAAAATCTTCTTTTAAAAAACCCAATGAGCTAGAACTTAGATGTTTAGCATGAAACATCTTCTTATGGGTGTCTACCAAGTCTGTTCAAATAGACAAATAAAAGCCCTTGGGTAAAAATTGGCCTGGGGGTGGGGGGGGCCTATATACAGGTGAGCGACCTCAGGGCCATCATGGCCCTCTTGTTACAAATTTTGTCCAGCTAATACATTTTAAGATGGGCGAGTAAATTTGGCGGGTCTCTTGCCCTGCAGGGTGTGTGTCCCTAAAAAATTTGACGCCTGTGGCATTTAGCAATTCACATGTATGTGTTTGTGTGAATGTGCGTGTGTACCTGTCGGGCGTAGCTAGGGCTTGAAAAATTATACGCAAAGCGAGGTACGAAGTGCCGAGAGGGCGGCTGGCCGTCCCGCTGGAAAATTTTGAAAAATTAGATGTTAAATCGTGGACTCTGGCATGTCTTGAAGCAACTTTTGCAAGTAAAGCATGGAGCATTCTCAAGTAATTTTTTCCCCATAAATTGATAAACATATAGCTGCTCGTTTTACTTTTTAACTTATTTCATTATAACTTCGAACAGATTTGTGAAGAAAAAGGCAGTGCATTCCTTGTAGTTTTCTTATTTTACACGTGCATATAAACATACACAAAAATTTTTCCATGTGATGCAGATCATGAAATTGGTTTATGTATGAATGCCCGTTCAATTGTAAAACGCATTTAACCAGATAACAAGTCTTTTTAGCATTTCTCATCAAATCAGTTTGGAAAGAACGGCTTTTCTTAAGCCTTCAGTCTTATTTATCGAAGTGTATGTATTATTTCCAAATGCACAAGAAAAATTATACTCTGAGAACACTTCTATATCATCGTAAGAAAGTAGGGAAATTACCAGATACAACGAGATATTAAATGGTCTAAAGATCACCCCATAGGTCTCCTCAGGCGGTGATGAGAAATTAACGGACTTACTCATAGATATATCTTGTTGCCAACAAAAATGTGGCCTTAATGGCTGCTAACGCCTCTCTGTTCTTTTGAACTTTCTGCCGATAGGCCGTTGATCCGAACCCGAAGAAGAAGAAGAAGCTCTTGTGATGGAATTCATGTGTTCTTTTGAGTGTGTGTGCCCATCAACGACTTTTCTAGCGTTGCTTCAGTCAATCAACGGACAAGCAACAAGCACATTTTCAGACGCATTAAAGGCAAAACATGGAGCACAAAATACCCCCATTAAATAAAAGGATGTACTTTAAGTAGATGGGTGCTTCTCTTGCTCAAACACACAGTCCGGCACTCGCCTACTTGTTGCCCTTTTTCGAGTTCTCTGAGAGGTGCAACCCAACCTGTATGTGGCTCGAACCGTTCGGTGAGGACAACATTTTTTTTAGAATCTGGCATTCTTAGTCGGCTTCTGATATCAACACTTCCGATATCCAGGAATCGTGCTCCCACGGAACTTTTAGCCACGAGGGGAGAAGAAGCAGGGGAAGACAAAGAGGAGGAGGTGGACGGAGAAGAAGAAGGGAGAGAAGGAGACGCGACACTGGCGTCTGATTTGCTGATCACAGGAGGTTCACATGCCAGGTCTTGTGAATTCTGTTTTGTTTCTGCCTGGTCAGATTCATTATCGACTTGAATAGGGTCCTGTTTTAGGACCATGAACAGTGTCGCTTGTCCTGGAATTTGGCGGATGTTTCTTTTCATTTTGACAACTAACAACACACCAAAAATTAAATTTTGCCCCGAGTTGATGATTTTTAAAATCTTGATCTAAAACTTAAAAGATTTAAAGTCGTTTTAAAATATAGCTACTCCAAAGGAACGATATAGAAAGGATTTGTCTTAATCTTTAAGAAAAGTCTTAATAATCTTTATTTTCTGAGAATTTAACCAACGATAAGTTATTATCTAAATTGTAAATAAATTAATGCTGCTTTTCATTTATCTCTGTGCAATAAGTTTGTAAATGCTTCGAGTTAACGAGAAACTTAAATTCCTATTGCACATAATATATTACGATAATTAATAATAGAGTGACGCAATCATAGTTTACACTAGTAAACAGTATGACGCAACAAAATATTTTGTAAACAGAAATGGAGATCTAGATTTATATTATAGCGATAAAATCATTAAAACTTAGATTTTCTCAACTTTATTTTTTTACCTTCCGAATTTTTTTATACGCAATTGCGTATTGTGCGTAATGGGCGCTACGCCCTTGCCTGTGCATGTGTGTATTTGTGTTATAAAGAATATATAGTGAACTTAAAAAATCTTCTTGTGACTAAAATCTATCCTGTCCTTTGGTGTACAGTCATGACATTTAGGCCATTTGATATATGACCTTGACAACTAAATTCACTGGACTTAAGTGCATTTTTCAAAGTTCAGTTGTATAGAAAAAAAAAAATATATTTTCTGTTCCTACACTACTGTTTAGTCTTGTATTAATGCGGTGGCATAGCATTTTTAGCTCGACTATACGAAGTATATGGAGAGCTGTCCTACTCGCCCCGGCGTCGGCGTCCGCGTCCGCGTCCGCGTCCAGATTTTAGATTAAAGTTTTGGTGCAGTAAAATATTTTTCACTATAACTTTGTCATTTCTTAAGGTATCAACTTCAAACTTCAAATATATGTTCCTTATCATCAACCACATCTTATGTGACAAGGTTCATAACTCTAGCACCAATATTTTCAGATTTATCTCCCCTTGAACTTAGAATTTTCCTCAAAAAATGCTATTTCTTACTGTTACTTCTTTATTTCTTAAGGGATCAACCTCATACTTCAAATATATGTACCTTATCAACATTCTCATCTTATGGGACAAGGTTCATAACTCTAGCACCAATATTTTCAGATTTATCTCCCCTTGAACTTAGAATTTTCCTCAAAAAATGCTATTTCTTACTGTTACTTCTTTATTTCTTAAGGGATCAACCTCATACTTCAAATATATTTACGTTATTATCATCCCCATCTTATGTGACAAGGTTCATAACTCTAGCACCAATATTGCAAGAATTATCTCCCCATAAACTTAGATTTTTTTACTAGAAAAATGTTATTTTTTATTATAACTTTTTTATTTTTAAAGGTATCTACCTCAAACTTCAAATTCTTATTCCTTATCATCAATTACATTTTATGTGACAATGTTCATAACTCTTGAAGCAATATTTACAGATTTATCTCTCTTTGAACTTAGGATTTTCTTTAAGAAATATAATAACTTCTTTACTTTTTAAGGTATCTTCTTCAAACTTCAAACATATATTTCTTATCATTACACAAATGTTGTGTGACAAGGTCCATAACTCTAGCATGACTATTTCTAGAATTATTCCCCTTGATCTTGGAATTTATTTTTTTACTATAACTTAATACATTATGATACATAATTGATTTTTCTTTCATAGTTTTGTCCTCCTTACTGCGTCCAGTATTTTATTAGTCGAGCTTCGCTGTCTCCTGTGACAGCTCTTGTTAACAAATGCAATCTTGTTTGTGTTTTTATGCTCCCTGAAAAATTTGGGGAGCATAATTATAGTCATACATATGTACGTCCCGAATTCTTGTCCGGTCCATAACTTTGTTATTGAAAGTCGGATTTTAAAACTATTTCACAGAAATGATCACCATATTGAGACGACGTGTCGCGCCCAACATTTGGGTCGCTACCTTGAAGGTCAAGGTCACAGCATGACCTTGCAGCAAAATCGTGTCCGGCCCATAACTTCGTTACTTGAAGTCGGATTTAACAACTATTTTACAGAGACGATCACCATATTGAATCGACTTGTCGCATGCAACATTTGGGTCACTACCTTGAAGGTCAAGGTCACAGCATGACCTTGCAGCAAAATCGTGTCCTGCCCATAACTTCGTTATTTGAAGTCGGATTTTACAACTATTTCACAGAAATGATCACCATATTGAGACAATGTGTCGTGCACAACATTTGGATTGTTTTTACACTTTGAACTTTGTCTGTGACATAACTCTGACACTAAAAGAGGTATACCTTCCTGTTTCAAAACCTATTCGGGGAGCATCACCAGAGTGGTTCAACTGGCTCTTGTTAATACGGAAATATAGGTTTAATTTGGAAGAATATACTTACAATATTATCTTACAGGCTGTGATATTGAGAGAGCTGTCAGTCATAAGAGATCATGCAGGAAAAGCTTGTCTACGTGAGTTACACACCAGTAATAGTCCACTTACTATGGCTGTTTGTGGCTCTAAAGGTAAATTTAGTCTGATCATGATAAGAAGGGTTCGACAATTTTTTTAGTTTAAATGAGATAATAGCTAAATAACTGTCAAAGTTTCTTTGGATAGGAAATTCTTCACCATGAAAAAAAATTTGCAAAAGAAAAAATGTTGTAGAACTAGTAAAATAATTTTGTTGTTTATCTTGGTAGAGCAGAGTTCGTAGACACTTCGAATTTATAGCTTGACTATTTGCAGAATACGCAAGCTAATGCAGTCACCCATTTGTTGGCATTGGCTTCAGCGTCCTTGTGGTTAAGTTTTTACCTGTGGTATCTCCAAATTTGTGAAGACCCAGGTTGGGATTGCTTTAGGACCCCCTGGTATAATGGTCACTGTAACTAGAAATAGAAAAAAAAAATTCCAGGCATTAACTATAGTTTGGAATGAGATATTGAAATCAACCTTGGTATATATAGCAAGCTTATGTGAAGACACTGGCTGGTATTGCTTTTGGGCCCCCTGTGGTCCACTAGGTCAGTGTTACTAGAAAAAGAAAAATTGTTTTTGCACAATATACATAATATTAGTTTAGAATGAGTTATTGTAATCAAACTTGGTATTTAGCAACCTTATGTGGAAACTCTGATTTTGGATTGCATTTTGAGGGTCAAGGGTCACTGTTACTTAAAATAGAAAAACAGTTCTCGGACAATAAATAGAGTTAAGAATGAGATATTATCAAATCTAGTGGAAAGCAAGCTTATATGAAGACCATCATCGGGTTGGGATTGCAATTAATTGAAATAATTCTTTGTCAACGGTTGAAACTTCATAAATTATAGGTTGAGTTCAAATTTTTCTTCATACCACTTATTTTTCAAACAGTCAAGGTTACTGTTGGGGGTATTAATGACCTTCAGTGATAGCTCTAGTTCTTTTTCACTTTAAACAGTTTTTATTGTGACATATAGGGGTTACTTTTGTCGGCGTCGGCGTACCCTAAAGCTTGTCCAGAGCATAACTCAGTCATCATAAGTCAAGACTTCAAACTTGGTACGCATGCTTCTTTCAATAACCCGAAGTGCAGTGGACAAGGACCGGTACTCTGCACTTCTTAATTTTTGAGTTATGCCCTTTGTAAATTTTCATACTTTAATTTTGTCCGGGCCATTTTTCCGAAAGTACAAAAGCTATGGACTTGAAACTTCATAGGATGATAGATCTTATTAAGAAAAAGTGCAGTGCACAAGAACCGATACTCTGCACTTCCTAATTTTTGAGTTATTACCCTTTGTTAATTTTCATACTTTATTTTTGTCCGTGCCATTTCTCCGAAAGTACAAAAGCTATGGACTTGAAACTTCATAGTATGATAGATCTCATTAGGAAGAAGTGCAGTGCACAAGAACCGGTATTCTGCATTTTTGTGTCGCCTCTAGTGGCTACATATAGGGATCACCTCTCCGTCGTCTGATTGTCCGTCTGTCTGTCCGTCCGTCCGTCACAAAACTTGTCCGGACTACTCCTCATAAACTACTGGTGCAATTTCATCCAAACTTTACAGAAATGATCAGTACCAAGTCTAGTTGTGCATATTGTCAGCATTTTCCGGTTCAATGATTTTTGTCAGAGTAATGGCCCTTTAATAATTTTTATTTTTAAAATTTGTCCGGACTACTTCTCTTATACCGCTAATGCAATTTCAATAAAACTTTACAGGATTGATCTGTAGCTCAAGTCCTTGCGCATATTGCACGGGTAATACGGTTGAATGATTTTTGGCCGAGTTATGGCCCTTTGATAAAAAGGTGTTTTTTAGCTCACCTGTCACAAAGTGACAGGGTGAGCTTTTGTGATCGCTTTACGTCTGGCGTCCGTCCGTCATCCGTCCGTCCGTAAACTTTTGCTTCAAATGACATCTCCTCATAAACCACTAAGCCAATTTCATCCAAACTTCACAGGAATGTTCCTTTGGTGGTCACCTTTAAAAATTGTTCAAAGAATTTAATTCCATGCAGAACTCTGGTTGCCATGGCAACCGAAAGAAAAAACTTTAAATATCTTCTTTTAAAGAACCCAAAGAGCTAGAGCTTAGATATTTGGCATGAAACATCTTCTAATGAGTGTCTACCAAGTTTGTTCAAATAAAAGCCCTGGGGTCAAAATTGGCCCCGCCCCAGGGGGTCATTGATTTTCCCTATATGCATATAGTAAAAACTTAAAAAATCTTCTTTTAAAGAACCCAAAGAGCTAGAGCTTAGATATTTGGCATGAAACATCTTCTAATGAGTGTCTACCAAGTTTGTTCAAATAAAAGCCCTGGGGTCAAAATTGGCCCCGCCCCAGGGGGTCATTGATTTTCCCTATATGCATATAGTAAAAACTTAAAAAATCTTCTTTTAAAGAACCCAAAGAGCTAGAGCTAAGATATTTAGCATGAAACATGTTCTAATGGGTGTCTACCAAATTTGTTCAAATAAAAGCCCTGGGGTCAAAATTGGCCCGCCCCGGGGGTCATTGATTTTCCTTATATGTGTTTCGCAAAAACTTAAAAATCTTCTTTGAAAAAACCCAAATAGCTTGAGTTTAGATATTAAGCATGAAACATCTTTTAGTAAACATCTACAAAGTTTGTTCAAATAAAAGCCCGGGGGTCAAAACTGGACCTGCCCCAGGGGTGTCATTGTTTTTAACTATATGTGTATAGTAAAAACTTAAAAAATCTTCTTTTAAAAAACCCAATGAGCTAGAACATAGATGTTTAGCATGAAACATCTTCTTATAGGTGTCTACCAAGTCTGTTCAAATAAACAAATAAAAGCCCTTGGGTAAAAATTGGCCGGAAGGGGGGGGGGGCTATATACAGGTGAGCGACCTCAGGGCCATCATGGCCCTCTTGTTTTTTTGAGTTATTGCCCTTTGTTAGTTTTCATATTTCATTTTTGTCCTGGCCATTTCTCCTAAACTATATTGTTCACAAGGCGACACATCCGACTCGCGGAGTTCTAGTTTTGGGTATGTGATAAATAGAATATTATATTCGTGTAGGTTCATTACTGAATTTATTATACCCCCACCACAAAATGTGGGGGGGGCTATAATGGATTCGCTTTGTCGCGTCGGTCGGTCGGTCCGTCCGTCCGTCTCCATTTTCGTGTCCGCTCTATAACTCCTATACCACTTTAAGGATTTTCTTCAAACTTGGCTCAAATGTTCACCTCAGCAAGGGGATGTGCAGAACCCATGTTGCCCATGTGTCAGCTCAAGGTCAAGGTCACAATTGAAGGTCAAATATCAAACACAATCATATATTAGACAGTATGTCGTGTCCGCTCTGTAGGTCCTACAATAATTGAAAGATTTTCTTCAAACTTGGCTAAAATGTTCACCTCAACAAGGGGATGTGCAGAACTCATGTTGCCCATGTGTCATTTTAAGGTCAAGGCCACAATTGAAGGTCAAATATCAAACAATCAAATATTACACAATATGTCATGTCCGCTCTGTAAGTCCTACACTAATTGAAAGATTTTCTTCAAACTTGGCTCAAATGTTCATTTCAACAATGGGATGTGCAGAACCCATGTTGCTCATGTGTCAGCTCAAGGTCAAGGTCACAATTGAAGGTCAAATATCAAACAATCAAATATTACACAGTATGTCGTGTCCGCTCTGTAAGTCCTACACTTATGGAAAGATTTTCTTCAAACTTGGCTCAAATGTTCACCTCAACAAGGTTATGTGCAGAACCCATGTCACTCTTTTGCTGGCTTCAGGTCAAGGTCACACTTGAAGGTCAAAAATTGACTTAGAAAATGTTCTTTAATTTTAACATATATCTGAATATTTCTGAATCTAGGAAAGGTATTTGCTTGAAACTTAAAATAAGTGTCACAATTAAGATATGCCGGTCAAGTTTCATAACTCTGTATTGCATTTTAACAAAGTTATGCCCCTTTTTAATCTTCAAATTTACATACAATCACATATTAGACAATATGTTGTGTCCGCTCTATAAATCCTATACTAATGGAAGAATTTTCTTCAAACTTTTCTCAAATGTTCACCTAAACAAGGTTATGTGCAGAATCTATGTCACCTTTGTGCAGACTAAAGGTCAAGGTCAGACTTGAAGGTCAAAAATTGACTTAGAAAATGTTCTTAGATTAAAACATGTTCTTGAATATTTCGGAAACTAGCATAGTATTTGCTTGAAACTTAAAAGATATATGAGGTGTCACAATTACGATATGCAGGTCAAGTTTCATAACTCTGTATTGGATTTTGACAAAGTTATGCCCCTTTTTAAGTCTTTAAATTTACATACAATCAATACTAGACAATATGTTGTGTCCGCTCTATAAATTCTATACTAATGGAAGGATTTTCTTCAAACTTTACTCAAATGTTCACTCCAATTGGGCGATGTGCAGAACCCATCTTACCCTTGTGCCAGCTGAAGGTCAAGGCCACACTTGAAGGTCAAAAATTGACTTATAAAAAGTTTAGTATATTGGGAAAATGAAAGGTTATTTGTAACTGTTTCGAACATGATTTGATAATAGATATTTTTACTATTACCTGTACAATTAGTCTTTTTTTCACCAGAGATAATTTCTTTTTATGTATTTGTGTCACTTAAGTTATTCCCTTAACCATCTTTCCAAGTTGTCTTCTGTCAAGGACATTGGTGGGGGTATGAATCGCATTCAGCGATAGTTCTAGTTAAACTTGTTATTAGAATGATATTATGCTCGCCAGGGGCTTGCATAATATAATTTTATTCAAATTGTTCAATAAATCCATTATTGAACTTACACACCTTCAATATCCTCTATTTATTTAATGGTGTAGAGCTGTGTTGATGCTTCCCCATTCAAGTTTATGAGAATAAAACTGCTCAGTCATTTAGTTCTTCCAAAAGAGTGGAGTACTGACCATACTCGAATTGTTTTTGCAGCGATGATCTTTTCCACACACTCCTTTGTAGTCTTCTTTTGTGTTCTTTAATATTAACAATTGCTATTGATAAATTACATGCTGATAATGCATCAGCTGAAGATTTTTATGCCCCCGAAGGGAGGCAGCGTCTGTCTGTCTGTCCATCTGTCTGTCTGTGCGACCACACTTCATTTGTGTTCAGGCTGTGACTTTGTCATACATTGAGGGATTTTGAAATAGCTTGGCACAAATGTCTACCACATTAAGACAACAAGTCGCATCCAAGACCCCTGTCCCTACCTTCAAGGTCAAGGTCACACTTGTTTACACTCTAGTGGTCACATTTTTATGCTCCCTGAAAAATTCGGGGGAACATATAGTCGCCGCCTTGTCCGTGCGTCCATCCGCTTTTCTTGTCCGGGACATAACTTTGAAACAACAAGAGGTATCAACATTAAACTTTGTAGGTAGATAGATCTCATTGAGAAGGTGTGCAGTGCACAAGAATCGTAACTCTGCCTTGCCTAATTTTTGAATTATTCCCCTTTGTTTATTTTTACACTTTGACTTTTGTCCGGGACATAACTCTAAAAGTATAAGAGGTATCAACATGAAACTTTGTAGATAGATAGATCTCATTGAGCAGGTGTACAGTGCACAATAAACCGTAACTCTGCCTTGCCTAATTTTTGAATTATCCCCCTTTGTTTATTTTACACTTTGAACTTTGTCGGGGTCATAACTCTAAAAGTATAAGAGGTATCAACATGAAACTTTGTAGGTAGATAGATCTAATTGAGTAGGTGTGCAGTGCACAAGAAAAGTAACTCTGCCTTGCCTAATTTTTGAATTATCCCCCTTTGTTTATTTTACACTTTGAACTTTGTCCGGGACATAACTCTAAAAGTATAAGAGGTATCAACATGAAAATTTGTAGTTAGATAGATCTTATTGAGTAGGTGTGCAGTGCACAAGAAAAGTAACTCTGTCTTGCCTAATTTTTGAATTATCCCCCTTTGTTTATTTTACACTTTGAACATTGTCCAGGTCATAACTCTAAAACTATAAGAGGTATCAACATGAAACTTTGTAGGTAGATAGATCTCATTAAGTAGGTTTGCAGAACACAAGACTGTAATACTGTCTTGCCTACTTTTGGAGTTATTGTCCTTTGTTCATTTTGACACTTTGAATTTTGTCCGGGACATTACTCTAAAATTATAAGAGATATCAACATGAAACTTTGTAGATAGATAGGTCTCATTGGGTAGAAGTGCAGTGCTAAAGAATCATTACTCTGCCTTGCCTTATTTTGAAGTTATTGCCCTTTGTTTATTTTTACTTTTTGACTTTTGTCCGGGACATAACTCTAAAACTATTAGATATATCAACATGAAACTGTGTAGGTAGCTAGATATCATTGGATAGAACTACAATGCTTAAAGAACCTATACAAAGTCTTGTCTCATTTTGGAGTTATTACCCTTTGTTCATTTTGACACTTTGAATTTTACCCGGGACATAACTCTAAAACTATAAGAGATATCATCAGGAAACTTTATAGATAGATAGATCTCATTGAATAGAAGCGCAGTGCAAAAAAACATAACTCCGCCTTGCCTTATTTTGTAGTTTTTACCCTTTGTTCATTTTTTTATACTTTCCTGTGTCCAAAACTTTCTCGGGGAGCATCACCCGGTTCAACCGGTTCTTGTTGACTCAATCATCATCAAACTTGGTCAGGATGCTTGTCTAGGTAATTGCTCGGATGAGTTTTAACATGGGTCATCTCGGATGAATTACTAGGTCGCAGGAGCTAAAAATTGAAAAATCTTGTTAAGACTCTAGTGGCTACTGTTATGATCCAAATATCCTGGAAATTGGTCTGAAGGTTTGTTTTTGGCCATTTCTAGGTCAAGTTAAAATATGGGTCACCTGGGTTTAAAAACTAGGTCACACTGCCCAAATATGGAAAAACCTTGTTAACACTCTAGTAGTCACATTTTTGACTCAATTATCATCAAACTTGGTCAGGATGCTTGTCTAGATAATTGCTCTGATGAGTTCGAACATGGGTCATCTTGGATGAAAAACTAGGTCACAGAGGCTAAAAATAGAAAAATCTTGTTAACACTCTAGTGGCTACTGTTTTGATCCAAGTATCCTGGAAATTGGTCTGAAAGTTTTTTTTGATGATTTCTAGGTCAAGTTTGAATATGGGTCACCTTGGGTTAAAAACCAGGTCACACTGCTCAAATATGGAAAAATCCTTGTTAACACTCTAGTGGTCACATTTTTGACTCACCCACCTGTCATGAAACTTGGTCAGAATGCTTGTTTAGGTAATACGATGGGTCAGGTGAGCGATCTAGGGCCATCTTGGTCCTCTTGTTTAAAGATTTGTTTAAACCATACGTTTGCTTTTAGAAAAAGTAAAAAAGTTAAGCGTTGCCCCCTTCCGGTGGTGGCTCTTGTTGAAACTTTTAATAAGTCAGCCAGCAGTTTAGAGCCAGGTCAGACTTGCAGTGTATATACTGGTGGAAAAGGCTTATCACTTTCAATAAGTTTACTAGGTTCTTCTTTTTAGACTTTGATAATATGCTTATAATCAGATAGCGGTGAAAATGTAATTATTCTTATTTCTATAATGCAGGATCATTTATCAATATATCCCAGATGATAGCATGTGTTGGTCAGCAGGCAATCAGTGGTAAACGTGTACCCAATGGGTTTGAGGACCGAGCACTGCCACACTTTGAGAGACATTGTATGTATATTTATCACTATTTAGGTTCTAAATATTAAGGGGCTCAACACAAATATTTCAGTGGTCTTCATTATTAATATACTTATAGTTTTAGTAAGTTAAACTAAAGCACTCGATTACTTCTTTGACGTGCAATTGTACCAACGATGCAGTTAAAAATATTGATAGGGGATGATTTAAACTTTTGATGATTAACATTAGAGAATTTTGTGGACTGTTTAACCTTTTACCCCATGAACTATTGCGAAAAATGGCCTCCTGTAACAAGTTCAAACTGCTATGAAACTATGAAAAATGCTTCAATACTGATGAAACTTGGCACAAATGTTGACTACACCATAGCCTCTGTAACAGCATGCTCAATCGTAAATTTCCTGTTACCATGGCAGCGGGGGGACGTCTCAAAATTGCCAAAAATCACTATTTTGCATTGTTTTTTTCCATCAAAACTGATTTCAAAGTGCGACTCAATGAATTGAGATAGAGTAAAAGGCTTTTCAGCGTCGGTTACTAGTTACCCTAAGATCGACCTGAGGCCATTTTTAGCCTATCACATGTCCAAAATTTTCTTGGCGATGAGGGGAATCCGCCCCCCTTCAAACCCCCAAAACACAAGGGGGCACATCCCCCTTCTGGCAACCCCCTGATGTAACATTTGGATGGAGGACGGCGCCGAAAAAGTGGTCACTTTTTTTAACAACATTTCTCAAATGAAAACCAGTGTTTGGGGCCTAAAATAGGGCATTTTTTCACTGTTTGAGGCCTCAAAAGGGGGGGGGGACAAAAAGCCGTCGAAACACGCTTATATGAGGGAAAAGGTTAAGGTAAAGGATAGTATTGGGTTGTGAACATAAGTTATTAAATGCATTAAATAGATACATTAGTATTAACAAGAATTGCGTATGTTACAGATGACAGAGAGTTAAAAATAGAGGTATAGTTACAGTCATGTTTCCTCTTGCCGTCCCCAAACTCTTAATCATAATTTTTAGCTCGACTATACGAAGTATATGGAGAGCTGTCCTACTCGCCCCGGCGTCCGCGTCCGCGTCCAGATTTTAGATTAAAGTTTTGGTGCAGTAAAATATTTTTCACTATAACTTTGTCATTTCTTAAAGTATCAACTTCAAACTTCAAATATATGTTCCTTATCATCAACCACATCTTATGTGACAAGGTTCATAACTCTAGCACCAATATTTTCAGATTTATCTCCCCTTGAACTTAGAATTTTCCTTAAAAAATACTATTTTTTACTGATACTTCTTTATTTCTTAAGGGATCGACCTCATACTTCAAATATATGTACCTTATCATCATCCCCATCTTATGTGACAAGGTTCATAACTCTAGCACCAATATTTTCAGATTTATCTCCCCTTGAACTTAGAATTTTCCTCAAAAAAAATACTATTTCTTACTGTTTCTTCTTTATTTGTTAAGGGATCGACCTCATACTTCAAATATATTTACGTTATCATCATCCCATCTTATGTGACAAGGTTCATAACTCTAGCACCAATATTTTCAGATTTATCTCCCTTTGAACTTAGAATTTTCCATAAAAAATATTATTTTTTACTGTAACTTATTTATTTCTAAAGGATCAACTTCATACTTCAAATATATTTACGTGATCATCATCCACATCTTATGTGACAAGGTTCATAACTCTAGCACCAATATTGCAAGAATTATCTCCCCATAAACTTAGATTTATTTACTAGAAAAATGTTATTTTTTATTTTAACTTTTTTATTTTTAAAGGTATCTACCTCAAACTTCAAATACTTATTCCTTATCATTAATTACATTTTATGTGACAATGTTCATAACTCTTGAAGCAATATTTACAAATTTATCTCCCTTTGAACTTAGGATTTTCTTTAAGAAATATAATAACTTCTTTACTTTTTAAGGTATCTACTTCAAACTTCAAATATATATTTCTTATCATTACACAAATGTTGTGTGGCAAGATCCATAACTCTTGCATGACTATTTCTATAATTATTCCCCTTGATCTTGGAATTTATGTTAACAAATGTTATTTTTTTACTATAACTTAATACATAATTATACATAATTGATTTTTCTTTCATAGTTTTGTCCTCCTTACTGCGTCCAGTATTTTATTAGTCGAGCTTCGCTGTCTCCTGTGACAGCTCTTGTTTAAGTTCTAGATGTATTGTCTTCATAAATAGCCCCAACAACCCTTGGAACAAGACCTTAAAGTAGACCAGACTAAACTTAACCTTCATTCATATATGACCTTCAACTTCAAGGGCAAAAGTCTAAATGTTGCTTGATTTTTAGCTAGACTTTTTAGCTCACCTGTCACAAAGTGACAGGGTGAGCTTTTGTGATCGCTTTTCGTCCGGCGTCCGTCCGTCCGTTGTCCGTCCGTCGTCCGTCCGTAAACTTTTACTTTAAATGACATCTCCTCATAAACCACTAAGCCAATTTCATCCAAACTTCACAGGAATGTTCCTTTGGTGGTCACCTTTAAAAATTGTTCAAAGAATTTAATTCCATGTAGAACTCTGGTTGCCATGGCAACCGAAAGAAAAAACTTTAAATATCTTCTTTTAAAAAACCATAAGAGCTAGAGCTTAGATATTTGGCATGAAACATCTTCTAGTGAGTGTCTACCAAGTTTGTTCAAATAAAAGCCCTGGGGTCAAAATTGGCCCCGCCCCGGGGGTCATTGATTTTCCCTATATGCATATAGTAAAAACTAAAAAATCTTCTTTTAAAGAACCCAAAGAGCTAGAGCTAAGATATTTAGCATGAAACATGTTCTAATGGGTGTCTACCAAGTTTGTTCAAATAAAAGCCCTGGGGTCAAAATTGGCCCCGCCCTGGGGGTCATTGATTTTCCCTATATGCATATAGTAAAATCTTAAAAAATCTTCTTTTAAAGAACTCAAAGAGCTATGGCTAAGATATTGAGCATCAAAACATTTTCTAATCAGTGTCTACCAAGTTTGTTCAAATAAAAGCCCTGGGGTCAAAATTGGCCCCGCCCCGGGGGGTCATTGATTTTCCCTATATGCATATAGTAAAAACTTAAAAAATCTTCTTTTAAAGAACCAAAAGAGTTAGAGCTAAGATATTTAGCATGAAACATGTTCTAATAAGTGTCTACCAAGTTTGTTCAAATAAAAGCCCTGGGGTCAAAATTGGCCCCGCCCCGGGGGGTCATTGATTTTCCCTATATGCATATAGTAAAAACTTAAAAAATCTTCTTTTAAAGAACCCAAAGAGCTAGAGCTAAGATATTAAGCATGAAACATCTTCTAATGGGTTCTACCAAGTTTGTTCAAATAAAAGCCCCGGTGTCAAAATTGGGTCCGCCCCAGGGGGTCATTGATTTTCCCTATATGTATATAGTAAAAACTTAAAAAATATTCTTTTAAAGAACCAAAAGAGTTAGAGCTAAGATATTTAGCATGAAATATCTTCTAATGGATGTCTACCAAGTTTGTTCAAATAAAAGCCCTAGGGTCAAAATTGGCCCCGCCCCAGGGGTCATTGATTTTCTTTATATGTGTATAGCAAAAACTTAAAATAATCTTTGAAAAAACCCAAATAGCTAGAGTTTAGATATTAAGCATGAAACATCTTCTAGTAAGTGTCTACAAAGTTTGTTAAGATAAAAGCCCTGGGGTCAAAACTGGCCAGGCCCCATGGGTGTCATTGTTTTTAACTATATGTGTATAGTAAAAACTTAAAAAAAATCTTCTTTTAAAAAGCCCAATGAGCTAAAGCTTAGATGTTTAGCATGAAACATCTTCTTATGGGTGTCTACCGAATTTGTGCAAATAAAAGCCCTTGGGTTAAATTGGCCCTGCAATGTTGGGGGGTGGTTGGGGGGGCCTATATACAGGTGAGCGACCTCAGGGCCATCATGGCCCTCTTGTTATGCCCCCCCACCATAAAATGGCTGGGGCATATAGTGTTACCTTGTTCCGTCATTCCGTCATCATCAGTTTACATTCATTATCCAGAGCTCCAGATTGCATGTGTATCAGCGTGAAATACGCATTGAAAATCTAAAATACGCATCACTTTCAGAATTCATCTGTCAAATTTCCTCGCAACAAAATAAAAACACGCTTGTGTGTCAAAACACAAGCTTGAAGAATAGAAGTGTAAACATTTGATATTTAAAAGGGCGATGTTTTGAGCATAAAAATATATTTCTATTTTAATGTATTTAAAAAAAAACTAAAATTCTATTGGCAAGAATGCATGTTAAAAATGAAAGTAACAGGAAGTACAGAAGGGAGGTATCTCCTGTACCTGTAATTATTGAGATACTTATCTTAGGAGTTAACATATACAGGGTTAGTACAGTCTTAAAAGTTCTTAAATTTGAGTTCCTTTCTTAAAAAGTGCTTAAAAATGAAAAAATTGCTGAAAAGTCCTTGAATTTGATTACAGTCAGGACTAAATTCATCAGAATCCATTATACTGACAAATTCAAATAACAACAGTGAATTATTGGGAACCAATTTTTTAACGTTATTATAATCCTTTATAACGAAAAATTCGTATTTCGACTCCTATACAATAAAATTGGAAACCAAACATGTTATTTTCTATACAATCAGTACCTGTTAAACTGACACTTGGTCAGTCAAGCGTGCGTATCATAGAGCCGTGAACAAAAGCCGCAAGGTGTTAAAAGAGGTATTGTAGCTTGTCAGTTGATTGTTACACCTTATTATACATTACCAACTTGTTGTTGTCAGCTGAACTTTGTTACACTTGCCAACGTGTGACTTTTTATGCTCCCACTATGTGTGGGAGCATATAGCGTTGCACTTGTCCGTCCGTCCGTACGTCCCAAAATCTTGTGAACACAACTCCTCTTAAACCGGATGGCAGATTTTGCTTAAACTTTCAGGGATGAACAACCTTAATGTGTAGATGGTAGTAAAGGAAGGACTTTTCGCTGCAACCAAATTTAACAGAATTATGGCCCTTTGTTGATTTTTTCACTATATACTATGTAGAAATTTTGTGAACGCAACTCCTCTTAAACCGGATGGCAGATTTTGCTTAAACTTCCAGGGATTAACAACCTTAATGTGTAGATGATAGTTAAGGAAGGAATTTTCGCTGCGACCAATTTTAACAGAATTATGGCCCTTTGTTGATTTTTATGCCCCCGGGCATATAGTGATTGAACCGTCCGTCCGTCTGTCTGTACGAGGTTAACCTAGAACAGCAAGTTGGATTTTTCTTAAGTTCTACCTGTACCAATGGCTTCTTAGTTTACACACTTACTAATCAATACAAAGTACATGATCTGGGCAAGTTACATAACTCTGGCTTTCATATTTACCAAGTTATTGCCCTTTTCAGCACTTAGAAAATGAATAATGGTTAACCTAAAACGGCAAGTTGGAAATATCTTAAGTTCTATCTATACTAATGGCTTTGTAATTTCCACACTTACTTATCAATACAAAGTACATGATATTGCCAAGTTATATAACTGTGTCATCCATATTTCCCAGTTATTTCCCTTTTTTCACTTTGAAAATAGGGCCTTGTCTGGTTAACCTATTTCGGCAAGTTGGATTTATCTTAAATTTCTCCTAATTGCTTAATTTCTTTAATGATATCTTTCATATTTAGTATGTGGATACCTTTGATGGTCCTCTAATTTTTTCTGGAGTAAGCGGTCTCTAGGGTCAAGGTCAAAGTCACTGGTTTAAAAAATAAATATAAACATTTTTGCTCATACAGCCTTTATATTTTATGTGATGTCTTAGTTTAATACAAACATGCCAAGGGAGGTCCTCCTTCTTTGGTTGTAGTAAGGGGTCATTTGGGTCAAGGTCAATGTTACCAATGTCAAGGTCACCAATGTTAAAATAGATTTTTACAGGTGTATTGACCTTATTCAATAGACAGGTGTTATTTATAATTGATAGAAACATAAACTTTGAGGGAGTTAGTGGTCAGTTGGGTCAAGGTCACCAGTGCTAAAAATAGATTTTTACACATTTGCTCATACAGCCTTTATTAAGTGACAGATATATTTTATATTTGGTAGGAAGATAACTTGCATGGTATTCATCCTTTTGATTGGGGTAGGGATCAGTGGGTCAAGGTCACTTGTGCTAAAATTAGATTTTTACACTTTTGTCAATACAGCTTTTATTTATTGACAGATGTATTTCATATTTGGTAGGAAGATAACTTGCATGGTATTCTTCCTTTGGATGGAGTAAGCGGTCAGTTGGGTCAAGGTCACCTGTGCTAAAAATAGATTTTTACACTTTTGCCCATACAGCCTTTATTTATTGACAGATGTATTTCATATTTGGTAGGAAGATAACTTACATCGTATTCTTCTTTTGGATAGAGTTAGGGGTCAGTTTGGTCAAAGTCACCAGTGCTAAAAATAGATTTTTACACTTTTGCCCATACAGCCTTTATTTAATGACAGATGTATTTCATATTTGGTAGGAAGATAACTTGCATGAAGTTGAATATTTTTCAACTTCACAAGTCAGAGCAATGACTTGGCAACTTATATATTTCACAATTACAAAATGTCATGACTTTGTCAAGCTATAAAACTTGTGTTTACAATTTTTTGGCAATTTTTCTGTCCATAACTGAGGGAATGGGTAAACATTTTTTGAAATATTGCTACTGACAGGAATCTGAGCCGGGGGCATTTGTGTTTAACAAACACGTTCTTGTTTTGTTTTTTTATTACAGCTAAGGATCCCTCAGCTCGTGGGTTTGTACAGAACAGTTTTTACAGTGGTTTGACACCAACAGAGTTCTTCTTTCACACAATGGGAGGTAGAGAGGGTCTTGTAGATACTGCTGTGAAGACAGCAGAAACAGGTTACATGCAGAGACGTCTAGTCAAGGTAAGGTTACAGGCTAAGACGTCTAGTCAAGGTAAGGTTACATGCAGAGACGACTAGTCAAGGTACGGTTACATGCAGAGACCTCTTGTCAAGGTAAGGTTACATGCAGAGACGTCTAGTCAAGGTAAGGTTACATGCAGAGGCGTCTTGTCAAGGTATAGTTACATGCAGAGACATCTAGTCAAGGTAAGGTTACATGCAGAGACTTCTAGTCAAGGTAAGGTTACATGCAGAGACGTCTTGTCAAGGTAAGGTTACAGGCTAAGACGTCTAGTCAAGGTAAGGTTACATGCAGAGACGTTTAGTCAAGGTAAGGTTACATGCAGAGACGTCTAGTCAAGGTTAGTTTACATGCTAAGACGTCTAGTCAAGGTAAGGTTACATGCAGAGACGTCCAGTCAAGGTAAGGTTACATGCAGAGACGTCTAGTCAAGGTAAACTTTCTTATATTATTTTGCTAAGTTATAAAAAGTTGTCTGCTTTTCTTGTTAGCTCACCTGTCACAAAGTGACATGGTGATTTTTTTTATTGCTTTTCGTCTGACTTGCGTCCGTCCATCGTCCGTCCGTAAACTTTTACTTTAAACGCCATCTCCTCATAAACTGCTAAGCCAATTTCATCCAAACTTCACAGGAATGTTCCTTTGTAAGTCAACTTTAAAAATTGTTCAAAGAATTTAATTCCATGTAGAACTCTGGTTGCCATGGCAACCGAAAGAAAAACTGAAAAAATCTTCTTTTAAAAAACCTAAAGAGCTAGAGCTTAAAGGGAAAGGCAATGTTAGAATAAAACCTTGATATCAGAAATATAATACTGTAAATAGTAAATCTGCAATTTTTCTGGGTTCAAATAATAATATTAAACGCTTGATAACAAAATTTAAATTGCTTAATCACAGATATCTACAAGTCGGTAAGCACGGCCATGTTTGTGTATTGGTTGTATACAAACAGGTGCACATGATGTCATTACCACACATCTTTAGATTTACGATAAATACTTGTTATCGTCGAATCGTAGCGAAAGATAAAGATATTATAAAGTATTGACCAGACAAATTAATTTTAACTTTTTTAACAGGATGTGTAGGGAAATAAATTGTTTTAATTCAAAATGCATAACAATATCCAAGAAAATAAAGAAAGAAATAAAAAATCAACGGTCTATTTGAGCACCGGTCGCACCACTTCAGACCAGTGATGCCTGTTACTCCAAACAATGCTATGTCCATTAAAATCTCATCTTAATATATTTAAACAATAATTCACATATTTAATAAATACATGTGTTATTATTTAACAAAGTTACACAACTAAATAAACAAACGCACCAACTCTGTCTTGCCTAATACTTGAATTATTGCCCTTTGGTAATTTTTACACTTTGAACTTTGTCTGGGACATAACTCTATAACTATAAGAGTTATCAACATGAAACTTTGCAGATAGATAGATCTCATTGAGTAGGTTTGCAGTGCACAAGGACTGTAACTCTGCCATTCTTGATTTTTTAATTAATGCCCTTTGTTTATTTTTATACTTTGAACTTTGTCCGGGACATAACTGTAAAAGTAAAAGCTACCCATTCGCTAATCAAAGAATACGTTGAATCTATTTCTTTTGTCCGTTTACCATTCGCTTCCTCGACGGCATCCACGACGTTTCGCAGGATGAGCGATTTTTTGCGGACGCGGACAGTCACGGACATGTCTCGTCATGACAAAATGCCTCAAACGAAATTAAATACTTTATCGATTTCGAAAGAAAATACTAAAAAGCTCACCAAAATCGTGTGGGAGAACCTATAAGTAAGTTCATGGTGCACCAATGACAGATAAAAAAAACAACAACATCATATATCTGGTCTTCGGTTTCTTTCAAAAACCTAACTGGTATTCCATGTTTGTTCTTTTTACCTAATTCTTTGATGTTACAACTGGTTTTGGTATTAGAATGAAATTATATCATATTCTACAAATAATTATCCTCTGTTCGCTATACTTCAATTAAAGTATATAGAAATAATACGTACCTATGGAATAATACTCACCGACATGTCCCGGACACGGATCACGGACGCGGGTCACGGATCGCGTACCAATGGAATAGCTGCCTAAGAGATTTCAACATGAAACTTTGTGTAGATAGTTAGATCTCATTGAGTAGTAGTGCATTGTTAAAGAACCATAACTCTGTCTTGCCTAATTTTGGAGTTATTGCCTTTTGTTCATTTTGACACTTTGAACTTTGTCCGGGACATTTCTCTAAAATTATAAGAGATATCAATTTTAAAAAATTTTTTAGGTAGATGGTTAAATTTGGGAAAGAAGTGGAGTGCAAAAAAGACCCATAACTCCCCTTACCTTTTTTGAAGTAATTCCCCTTTTTTTTTAAATTAAATGCCATTAGGGCCCCCTAGAAAATTTGGGACGGTTTTATATAGAAAAACTTATAGTAAAAATTTTTAAAAAATTTCTTCTAGCAATTGACAAATGCTAGAAGTTAGATATTTTGCATGAAACATGGTCAAAATTGCCCATGCCCCGGGGTCATTGATTTTCAATATATACATACAGTAAAAACCCGCTTTACGACCACCCCGTTTTCGAGACCAACCCGCTAATACGAACGATTTTTTAAAGACCCGAATTTTTTATTCTTTATTTTAATGGTCGCTAACCCCGATTTTTAGACCACCCCGTTATTCCGTAATGCGACCAGTAAATTCAGTCCCATTTCGTAAATTCTGTTACATTTGGAAACCCATAAATACGACCGCGGCACTTTCTCACCTTGATATTGAACAATGCGTATATATTGCTGAAATTTTTTTGACACGTGAATGTAAACAACAGTTGTCCTAGTTTTACGACATTTAACGACATCCAGTTTACGGCAGAGGTCAAGGTTACTTTGTATCAAAACCCGGAAATGATCAATAATATTGTCGATAATTTCTTAATTTCACCACCTTTAATGTCATAACTGGGGGATTAAAACAACAAAGTATTGAACAGAAAACTTCGAGGTGTTGCTGCTATCATTATCTTCTTTTGTTCCATAATTTTAAAACAAATAACGATTAGGTTTTTGAAGTTGTTATCGGCGATGAAAACTGTGAAAATAATTAAAGGTTAATTGTTCGGTGTGCTTTGTAGTAAAATGGTGATTTAATAGAGTAAGTCGTGTCATTTTTTTAACAAGAATGTAAAAATATGTTTGTGTTTAAAGACATTCATAATACATTTTGTACCTCTAAATAAGTTAAATTTTTTTATAATGTTAAAAAGTAAAAGAAAATAAATGAAAATAAAAAAAATAATAGTGTATGCTTTATATCTTCTCATTTGAAATAGGTTAGTTCAGAATTAAACATGTGTACAGTACATGGTATCCCTTAATATATTGCCTAGTTTTCTGTTTGGCCAAACTCATTAATGAGACCAACCCGCTATTAAGACCAGATTTGTAAAGTCCCTTCATTGGTCTCATTAGCGAGTTTTTACTGTATAGTAAAAAATAAAAAAATCTTATTGTCTGAAGGTACAAGGCTTAGAGCTTTAATATTTGTTAAATGATATCATCTATCATACTCTACCAAAGTTGTTCAAATTTTGCCTCTAGTGTCAAAGTTAGCCCCGCTCCGGGGGTCATAGGTTTTCCTTAAATGTATATAGTAAAAACTTAAAAAATCATCTTCTCTAAATTTACAAAGGCTAGAGTTAAGATATTTTGCATGAAACATTGTGTAGTGAACCTCTACAAATTATAGCCCTGGGGTCAAAATTGGCCCTACCCCCAGGGGTCATTGATTTTCGCTATGTACATATAGTAAAAAAATTAAAAAACCTTCTTGTCTGAAGGTACAAGGCTTAGAGCTTTGATATTTGGTATATAATATCATCTATCTGGGTCCTCTACTAAAGTTATTTTAATTATGCCCCTAGTGTTAAAATTGCCCTGCCCAAGAGGCGATAGTTTTCCTTATATGTATAAAGTAAAAACTTGAAAAATCTTCTTCTCTGAATTGACAAAGGCTAGAGGTTAAATATATGGCATGAGACTTTGCGAATTGAACCTTACCAAGATTGTTCAAATTATAGCCCTGGGGTCAAAATTGGTTCCGCCCTGGGGATCATTGATTTTCATTATGTACATATAGTAAAAAAATAAAAAATATTTTGTCTGAAGGTACAAGGCATAGAGCTTTGATGTTTGCTATATAATATCATCTATAGGTCCTCTACCAAAGTTGATCAAATTTTTCCCCTGGTGTAAAAATTGGCCCTGCCCAAGGGGACAGTGACCTACTTTCTTGTCCTTTGATGTACAGCAATGAAATTTTGACCATGTGCACAGTTTTAGTTGTAAAATTGAACTTTGATATCAGGTGACCTAGATTTTGATGGTGTGACCTACTTTCTTGTCCTTTGATGTACAGCTATGAAATTTGAACCATGTGCACAGATTAAGATGTAAAGTGAACTTTGATATCAGCTGACCTAGATTTTGACAAAGTGTCTTACTGTGTTGTCCTTTGATGTAGTCATGAAATTTAGGCTGTGGGAAATATGACCTTCACCACCAAATTCACTAGACTCGAGTGCATTGATATATATCTTTTATTGGATTAACAATAGATTTAACCACTAATCTGATGATAAGAATTAGATAGGTCAGGGATCTATGCATTATGACAATCTTCAATTGTAAAGAAACAAAAAAAAATCTGTTCCTACACTACTATTTAGTGTTGTATTAATGCGGTTGCATAGCATTTTTCTCAAATGCAATCTTGTTTTTAGCTCGACTTTTTTTTTTTTTTAATTTAGAGGTATTGTTATAGTCGCGGCGGCCTTGCTGTTGCCGTCCGCAAACCTGTACCTGGATCATAACTTTTTGGCTCACCTGACCACGAAGTGGTCAAGGTGAGGTATAGTGATGGGGCTTTGTCCGGGGTCGTGCGTCGTTAGTAACAATTGGGTTGTTAACAGTCTACCA